AAAAACTTTAACTCAGTTTGAAGACTCTGATGGGAACACACACATTTAAGAATTTTAAATTAACTTCTTGTGAACAATGCTGATTAAAATTTTCTGCTTTTGCTTATTTTCCTACTGGTAAATATATTCCTTTACAATCCTTGATAAAAACAGATGTTCAGAATTTTAAATCAGGAAAATCGGAGAGTTTTAGTCTTAAATGAGAATGAACTGATTATGTCTTTCTTTTTACAGCTTCCTCCTTGTCTCTATTTATAGTGACAGTGGCTACAAAAATCAAGAATGAGTGACCCTTTTTAATTTCCACCCATTTCCCATTTCTAAATTCTCTTCCATTCCTGTCTTAGTTTTGTATCACACATCCACTTTGCAACATAATGTGGTACAGAGCTCCCTGAAGAAGCACTGAACGACAGCAATATAGGTACAACAGTTTGGTTGCAACAGTCCAGACAGCCATACTAAGAGACATCGGTAATGATCATACCACATCATTAGCTATGAGACTGGTTATCACTACGGCAATGCCATGCTAGTCACATCCAGTGCACTGGATCTGTTTCTATGAAAAAGATTATAGATATATATTTATGTATGAATATATATACACACACACACATATATTCATAGCTGAAAAAGAATATATATTTTGTCATGCTGCCATTTGAGAATGAAAATAAAATGAAGCACACCACTTAGAAAGAGGCAGAGGAAGCCAAGTACATTCAGTCTGGTGAAGAGACAGCTAACTGGGGATCTAGTTTTTTGCTTCAACTATCTAACAAATACCTATAGAGCAGATGGAGACAGACTTTTCTAGAAATGCACATCTGAAGAAAAAGGAGCAATAGTCACAAGTTGCAGCAGAGGAAATGGGATAAGGGAATAAGGAAAAATTTTCATGACAGTGAGTGATTCAGCACTGCAACAGGTGCCCAGAGAGGTGTTGGAATTTCCAGCCTTAGATTCAAAACTGAGCTGGCTGAGGCCCTGTACAACCTGATCTAAATATGAAGTTAGTCCCACTCAAAGGCTTGGGATCACAGGACTTCCAGAGGTACCTTCCAACCAAACAACCTAGATTTCTCTATGATTTTAAGATTCTTGTAACGCTTCTGTATGAAAAATAATGTGAAAACAGCCAATGTAACATTATCATTTCTCAACTTTTCATGCACAGTTTTACTTGCTTCCCTTTTGATCTTTTTATAAGGGTTACACAATTTTACAAGATGGGGTTGCCATAAGCTGAAGTTTTCATGAAGTTCCACTACTTAAATGTGGAAAAGTTGGAGGTAACATGCTTATGCAAGATACAAATCTGTCAAAAAATTAGGTTAAGAGGTCCCCAATTTGAAACCATGTCTCCTGGGGTACGGAAAACCAACTGATTATTATAGGTAGCTGATCCATGAAGTCTTGTTTCCAGTTTTGATTAAATTACTTCCTTTCAGTCATGTATGTGTGTGTGTAAACACTTACATATATACTTATATATACTCAATTAAGCTAGTAAAAAATTAAAATGTATATACAGTACTGAAAAAATATTAGTATGAAAATTGCAACCAATATCTCTACTGGTGATGTGAAGGCAAAAGGTACATGGATTTTCAATGGGATCAGAAAATTACAATCTCATAGGAAATTTAATTATGAGAAATAAAGGTGTGACTCTGAATACTTTCAAGAGCGGACCTACCTTGGTTTCCATTTTTAACCATTTAATAAGTATTTTGCTCTTTCAGTTAAGGTCAAGAATACTAAGAGGCTATAATGAACATTACAGAAAATGATACAAGGAATCTAATATTGCTTTCTTTTGACTAACGGAGCAGCATTTTAAAATTTTATGAACTGTATTGCAAAGAAGAGAATGAGTGTGACAGACTGAAACAATCTACAGTGCAACTAATTTTGAATAATTGAGATATATAAGAGAGAGATAAAGAAAAGGTTCATGGTAAAACCTATACAAGTCTATCATACTTTGGTAAAGTGGCTTTCTTTCTAAAAATTTTCTTATGATTACACATTTCAAACAGTTTGTGCTTATTCCATAAGAATACCAATCAAGTGGCATTGTCCAAACTAGAAGGGAAATCAAGTTTTATCATAAGGAAAAGTGGAAATTGTTGCCCTAGACAAGGAATAAGATATCTTACAATCTTAAAATACTCATGCAAAGTAAGAACTCTTTTTTCCCATTCATATAAAGATTAACTGGAAAGCTATTACCTGTTAAATGAATAAATATATCTGCTTATGCCACTATGTAGTATTTGAAAACCTTGGGAATACACTGACTATACTAACCTGGAGTGGAAACCTGAGCTTACAGAAAACATTTCTTTTTCCTATGACTTTAAAGTGGAACCATATTTCACTCTAAAATTTTTCATCTCACTATTTAATATTGCATTCTTTTGCACTTGTTTCCCCTTAAAAGCCTACATTAAATGCATATTTTTGTCATTCTTTTTAATCTAAAAATGCTCGTGCTTACAAAGTTTGTTCTGGAATATGTGTTAAAAACCTGTTGGATTAAGGTTCTCCACAATTTGTTTGAATTTTTGAGCCAAACTTTAGTCTAATCCCTTTAGACTAAAGTTGGATTGTCCCTTTAAAGTCTAATCTGAAAGACTTCAAAATAGCAAATTGTATGGAACTCAATCTGTTTATCTGAAAAGGATGAAAGGGTTTGTGCTCCATCTAGATTTGAACTTTTGGTTCCACAGTGTCTAGGTATTTCAAACCAGAGGTTTACACCATTAAGGCATGCCACTCACGATAACTCAATCTTTCCCATGTTAATACCCATGATAGAAAGATAAATGAATGCCTTGCTAAACTCGTAGAAAATATTTCTAAATACTAAATGACACCTATTATGAAAGTGTCTATCAAAATTGCCATTTCAGGTACAAGAGTTGATACTTATCTTTTTTTTTTTTTAATCATTCTGTTCAAATCTCAGAAAAAAAGGAAGCCACTAATAGGAACATTAGTTCGTTCCCTAATAGCACACAAGAAAACCCCTCTTTCATTTATTACATTTGTCTCATCCCACTTCCAAGGTAATCTGCTTAAGACTACCTTAGCCAACCAAACTGTGAAATAAATCCAATGTACCCTATAACACAGGCAGCCCCAGTTAATATTGTTCAAATTATTTACATCTGAAGGGCCGCGCCTGTCTGGATAGCTGGGCCCGACGCTTCTCTGGACTTGGTTTCTGCTACTCACATCTGTTTCAGCTTTAGACTTTCACTGGTATTCTGCCAGCAGCCACAACGTTTTAATGGCTACAATAAACTACAGAGACTCATCAAATCTTTGTTGTACGTGTTAAAATTATAACCTCTTCAATTAAAATTTTGATTTAAAAATAAACTACAGCATTATCTGAAGAAAAAAATTTGAAAGGGAATGTTTGAAAGAGATGCAACATTTTTATATGAGTGATCGTTTCTTTGTTTAAATATAAGAGAAACTAATCACAGGAATGCTTGTTAGAATTCTGCTGCATATTTTTGAGTGATAAAATACCAACATCTGAAAACATTTCCACAACCTTTTTTGTTTCAAATCTTTGCTGTCATTAACTTTATATGTTAATTGGTTTGGCTGGGTTCCAAATACATCTTTACAAAGAGGAACTATGAAAACAACTTTAATGTAACAATTTTTCTAGGTTTTCTATAAATACCTTAGAAAAGAGAAATCTGTGATTACAAGAAGGCTGCAGTTCTTTAAGTGCGTTAAAGTATTTAGCTTTTCCTACTTGCTGTCTCTGTCTTTGCAATGTAGAACAAATATGATGCGAATGTCAGAGCCTCAATGCAGATCCTGCAAGACTAAGATGCATGACAGCAGGACTACATGCTGAAAAAGTACAAGATCAAACACAGATCATGTTTCTGCACAAACTAGCCCAAAAGAGGGCAGGCCAAGGGGTTTACAGGGCCAAGCGATGAGAGGAGATAGAGCACTCACTTATGCCCGGGTCGAACAAACAACAACTGATACCTTCCTACCACTGTTAACCTTTGAAACTATCCTAAAGATGGCAGTGACCTAATCCAGCAATTTCTAACTGTAAGGATAAATTATTTTGTAATAGCTTTCATTGCCTTACATTGAAAAAAATTAAAAACAATCATCTTGTTCAACTCTGATTCTAAAAGGACTTCCATTTTGATGCAGAGAGTAAATGTAAAT